AAGAGCGTCTCTAACCTACGTAACCTCGTGTAGACCACACAAGCGTCACAGGCGCCGGCCAGCTCCGCGCTCTCGACAGCCACCTGTGCCTATGGGCGCTGGGAGCAGTTGTACCGGGACCACTCTGGGACACCACCATCCTTCGTACAGCAGCCACCCAGAGCTCACTGCATGACCAAGACAGGGACGCTGCAGGGTCCACAGGCTTCACTATGGCCAAGGGGCCAGGAACACTCAAGATCCCAGGAAGTTTAAGATTCTGGGGCCAACCAGTGGTGTGGCCTTTAAGGCACTGGACCCCACATGGCCAGCTATGCAGTTTGAGCCCCAGACCCGACAGCTTGAGGCACATGCCAGGCACGTATCTGTGCATGCCCAAAATCCTGAATGGAAAATGCAGACAGGGATGCAGTGTGATCACTCCCCCAGGGGTGCGTTCTCACTTCCTCTCTCACTCGCTCTCACTCTCTAGCATGCACACCCTATAACAAACTAAAAAAAAAAAACGTTAAAGCGTCCAAGAGACCAAGGCCCAGCTTTCCCTGCAGTCAGTGTTTACCAAAGGGTATTCCATGGAGCACGCCCCAGCCCCTCGCCGTTCATGGACAGGTGTGACGGGGAGTGCACCTCTGCACAGTGAGCAGGGAGACCCTGAGTAAGCTCAAGTCAGCAGCTTTCTTATTTTTCCAGAGGACTTTGCTATAGAGCACATGGACTAGCACGGAGAGACAGAAGGTGGGGAATCTCCCGCCAGGCGGATGGCCGCACCACAGTCCCCTCTCCACCCTCCTCTCAGGACCTTGGGTGCTCACGTGCCCGGCATGAGTTTCAAGCCACCGGGTCTGGGACTCAAACCACAGTCAGCCATGGGGGATCCAGTGGGAGTCCAGGAACATAACCACTGTGCCATTCGCCGGCCCCAAGAGGTTTATTTAAAAAAAAAAAAAAAAAAAAAAAAGAAAGAAAGAAAGAAAGAAAGAAAAGAAAAAAGAAAGTATTTCAAGAGCAGTGAAAAGCCACGCATGGGACATGGCACCAAAGTTGAAAGTCTCGAAACCTACCAGCACCCACAGCCATCTCTCTGTTAACTGGGGTAGCACCTGCCAACAGGCGTTCACAGGCCCCCCCCAGCCAGCCACGCCCAAACGCTGACCCAGTACCTGCGGGACAGACGGGGCCTGAACAGCAGGCGAGTGGGAGGACTGAGATGCCAGGGTGCTCTCTGCACCTTCGCTCCACCACCCTCCCCCCGGGCACCCTTCATGGCCGATTTTTCTGTCTTTCTGCTGCCCCCTCCACCTCTCAGAGCAATCTTTCCTTGTGCACACCTCCGTCGCCTGTCATTCTCCACTGGACGGGGAAGTCAGCCCCACATCCCTCCTCCTGTCCAGAAATACCTTGCCCACTGGCTGGCAGGTCCGTCACAGCGGACGGGGCGACAGGGAAGTGGTGACCGCTGCCCCTGGGTTGTTCACCGGCAGGAAGCACCGGCGTTGGCGCCGGACCCCACCGCCCTCTCTACCTGTCCACGGGCGACCCTGGGCCCAGGAGCTTCGCCCACGAATGGGAGCCGGGATGCTCACCTCCTCCCCGGAGGCCTTGCCACCACCGGCGCCTCCATGACACCGGTGCACGCTCCGCCGGGTGCTCCGGTGGCGTCACCAGCTACGAGAAGCAATCACAGGCCCTTGCCCGCCCCTGCCACCGCCTTCAGCCAATCGGAAGTGCGCGGCGCGGCGGCCGGGCTAGGATTGGGCTCTGGCTGGACTCCGTGCGCTCTGGCCTCTCAGTCGGGCGCCGGGAACTTTGTACTGGGAGAGCCTGTGGGCGTGGCCGAGGGCGTGGTCAGGGCGGGGCCTCGGAGGGCGGGGCCGAGCGAGTTCCGTCTGAGCCGGGCGTTCCCTAAGGCTGTAGCGTCCTCATTAGCTTTCTTGGTTGGGCAAATTGAGGTTCATCTCAGAAAGATAAATGGATCAATCGCCTGAAGGTCAAAAAGTCAATAAGTGGCAGAAATGAGATTTTAATTCAGTCCAGCTGACCCCTATTAAAAGGTCATTTTTATAGCCAGCCCCATAGTGCAGTGCTTGATCCCACGTGGTTGCCCACCTGTTCTAGTCCCTGCCTAGGTGGCTTATAGGCTCATAGTCTGCCCCCATGGCCTGCGTGGCACATCCACAAAACAGCACCTCCCAGCACCTTGCACAGAGGCCAGACGTGAGGAGAGGAGCCGGGATTCTCACCGGTGCCAGGGCCGGCCCCAGTCTCCTTCCCCGCCAGGGCCCAGCGGTGAGGGCTGCCCTGTCGCCCACGCCAAGCCGACAGCCTGTTACTGTCTCACAGTTTGAACTTTACGAGGCCCAAGCTTCTGTAAATGCCAGGGTGGGGAGTCTGCCTGAGGTTGTTAGCCATGGGACCTGGTCATGTCTCAGGCCAGCAGGGAGAGGAGGACAGGTCCCTCTTGGCAGGAGTGGGAGACTGTACCCCACGGCAGGATGGGGATGGCAGAGTTCTCTCTCCGGGGGCTCCTTGTGGGGCTTTGGCCCAGGAAGTCTGCGCTGTAGGAGGGTAGCAAGCTTCCTGCAGAGGGTAGGCCCCACACACTGAACTGTCCTCCTGGTTGCTGCGCACCCTGTCACCCCGAGACCCGGCTGCTGCCCCGCTGGGCCTCCTGACCTTCCCTTACCCCATGGGGTCGGCTCGGGACTGGAGCTTCTACCATGTTGGCACCCCAGGTCAAGGCACAAAATGGACGTTCGAGCACAGACAACCCTGCTAATGACCAGCTGGGCCATCGTCGGCTTCGAACAAGGATCGTGGGAGCCAGATCCCTGCCCCGGGGACGGAGCCTGTGCGCTCCTCCAGGTTTGTCTACTCTGCTCTGTAGCGTCTACACTGGGAGCCTGCCTGGTGCAGCCCGGCCATCCCCGCCCAGCCGTCCCCGCCTGGCCACCAGCCGAGCTTCCCTGCTAAGTAAACTCGGGGCTTCCTGCTGGCCTTCTGGCTGCGTCCTTTAGGATGGGCCAGCATGCGCAGGTTTGGGGCTCCCCCTTACACCCGAGCTCACCCTCACACCGCAGTTCATGACGGCTGTGCTCGGGTGAGCTCCGGAAACAGCCAGAGCTCCGTCTCTTCCCAAGGCGTCATCTGTAGCTTAGGAGGAACAATAAACGAGTAAGTGGCCCCCGCTTCCCGCTGGCTGCCAGGTGAGGCTGAGGTTGTGACCCTGGGGGCTGCGGCGCCATCTGAGGTTATGAGAGGAGCCACATAGAAGGGCCCAGAGCAACAGCTAGAAGGAGCCAGGCTCCTGGTGGTCCAGACTGCAGCTTCACTCCAGATGCTGTCCGGACCACATGCGAGAGAGAGAGAGAGAGAGAGAGAGAGAGAGAGAGAGAGAGAGTTCTGCCTCGGTATTTATCTAAGACGGGTGGGGTAAATGCAGACATTTCAAAATCTCTCAGAACAGCAGCCTGTCTTCCAGATAGCAGGGAATTCCAGACACTTGCGGTGGCTAACTCACAAAAGCACAGGCACCTGCCGTAAGCCAGAGTTGGCCAACTCGCCCTTCCCTTTCTTTTGCTAGGGAGCAAAAATGTCCTCACGAGAAAGACGGAGAGAGGGCAATGAGAAAGCACCCCACGGCGGATGGCCAGGCCACACTCCCTTCTCCATTTGGGGCTTGGGGCATGACACACACGTGCCACCAGCTGGCCCCCAAGCAGCGCTTTCCGCTGTCCCTGTCCCCTCTTCTCACCTGCCGCTGCCCGGAAGAGCTCTCCTGCGTAGAAGGAAGGTTGTCAGGTTCACGAATCGCGAATAAAAGCCAATCATTCTAGAAGTAAGGCTATAATGTCACCTTTTGACACTTCACATTCATTTTCTGAATGTAAAAACTGAAAGCACTTAGGTAAAATGATTACTTCTTTCCACCCTCCTCTCAGCGTCCCTCCTCCTCCCTGCCCTCGGGAAACCCCTCCGAATTTTGCCAGTCTATCAGTTTGGCCTGTGTCCTTCAACGTTTTCAAGTACTTTCCTGACCCATGGCCTGGTGGTTAAGGAAACCAGATCCCACGTGGCAGAGTATGTGGTTCAAATCCCAACCCCAGTGGCTTGAAAAACACACCAAAAAAACACACTTGAAAACACACGTGTTCACGTGCCCCAGTCCCGACAGGATGGGGAGGTAGAAGGGACTGCAGTGTGACCCTGACCGTGGGGACACTTGCTCTCTCCCCTCTCGCTGTCTCTCTGTTTCTCTCTACAGAGCTCACGTGTCCACTGGCAAAAAAAAATAATACTTTACATACATTCATGCGTGTTTAAAAGATATGCATTTTAAAATATATGAACAGATTGGAGATTCAGAGTGCTAACTCTTCCATGCCCACTGGTGTAATAAACAGTTTTCTTTAAAAAAAATACATATATATATATAAATGTACATAAAACTATATAATTTTGTGAGGTTTTTGGGTTTTTTTAGATTGTTATAGGGTGTGTGCCAGAGAGAGGCAGAGAGGGAGAGAGAGAAATCACCCCCTGGGGGAGATGGCCTCATCGCAACCTTGTTCTCTCTTCTCCTCCCTGGATTTTGGCCACACACACACACACACACAGGCCCTGTGTGGATTTCAGGCCACCAGATCTGGGACTCGAACCATAGTCAGTCATGTGGAGATCCAGTTCCTTAACCATCACACCTGTTGGCCCCTGCCAACTTTTTTTTTTTTTAATTTATTTTTATTTATTTAAATTTATTTATTTACATTCATTCACTGTACATCATTACAACATGCAAAATGAGATTTTCCATCCAGATTACACTGTATATTGGTTCAATCAAGCACATCAGCATACATGTTATCATCAACAAATAATTTTCCATTTCTTATTTCCTAATGTTTTTCTTTTTTTT